CAGCAAGATCCCCTCCCAGGAAATGGGGGGTGTCTCGTGTTGCCTTACACCAGGGGACGTGCAGCCCTGCTTGTGCCACCACTGACACTGCCAGGTTGGGTCCCTGGGTTAAGGTGGCAAACCCCTTTGCACTTCTGTAGTATAGAAAAATTCAGAAAAATAAAGGAGATATCTGTAGGCCTGTCTTTATTCTTGTATTCAAACATGTGTCCGAACTTTGTAACATAATTATAGGTTATTTAGAAAACCCTTAAACTGAGCAACTCTAAGTAATTCCTTGGTTATGATAACATATATACAAAAGGATTCTAAAAACAGTTACTGTCCACTATCTGCTATTTTAAAATCTTTTTTAGATTTTAAAAAATACTGGCTAAGATTTTTGTTTGTCCGCCAGATACAAAAGTGAGTAAAACAGATGCTTGCCCTCATGGAATTTATATTTGAGTGGAGAATAAAGTTTAAATCCAATTTTACAGTTAATATTTCTGGGGAATCAGAAGGAGAAGATTCCACGTACAAACATGCAGTTTACTTGTAGCTCATCCCTTGTTCGGTTTGAAGGTGGAGTGGAGATGCTTGAGCAGCACGCTCCAGACTAGTGATTCTGTGGGATAGTTGTGGACGTTTTATAAAGAATGCTTTCTGGCCTTTAAACTTTTGCAAACTGAATTAAGTTTGAGGTATTAATAGCAAATGTAAAAGCAAATATAAATATAGGCCAGGAGTCTAAACTATTGAATTCTTGTAAAGAGATGAAGTATACTGGATAGTAGACCATTCGCTGGGCTGTTAGGGGCTTTTAAATGGACCCTGTCTAGTGCATTTGTCGATGTGAGTCATTTTAATTAATGAATCAATTTTATCTTTATCATTTATTTATTCCTACATTCAGTCAGTCATTCACTCATTAGGTGTTTGTACAAATATGTATGTGCTTTTAATCTACTGGCAAACTTCCCTTTGATTTGTACACCACAGAAAGCCTTTATTTCATTTATGTGAATATCCAGAAATGTAAGTTAGTGGCTTTGTAGCTAACATGATATTTATAACATACTGGTTTTATTTTTGCAGAGTGACCTTTGGTCTTGTGGCGTTACAGCCATTGAGATTGCAGAAGGTGCCCCCACCCTTGTAAGTAACTTTCTTTCTTTTTCAGCCCAGTTTTTATATGTATCTTAAAGCAGGCTCATGGCTGCAAAAAGAACAGCCATTCCTGACCCTTGTAAGTAACTTTCTTTCTTTTTTAGCCCAGTTTTTATATGTATCTTAAAGCAGGCTCATGGCTGCAAAAAGAACAGCCATTCCTGATGGTGCATTAAAATGAAGGAATCATAAATACAGTGAAGTTTTAGAGCAAAAGAAATTCTTGGTAACCATTATTCCTTCTGGAGATTTCTGGAGGTCTGTAGGCTACATTTTCTTTTATTTAAGTTGTATTCAGATGTGTGGCTTGAAATTATGCCAAGATCAGAAAATAAGAGGTAATTTTTCTTTTTACATTTTCAACATAATAATCAGTGAAACTAAATGAATTTAGTGAATACTAAAATGCCATGGTCCTGTATTTTGGTATTATTTCAGTTTTGATTTTACAAAGGGAGACATAATTTGTTATCTATAGAATAATTTTTTTTTATTCCCTGTGAAATTTTGTAAGAGTGTTTGTGTATCCTTTGGATTACATCTATGAGAACTTTATAAAAATTGATTTTTGATCAGGGGTGGGGTAGAATTGCAGAGAACATAAAAAAAACAGCATTTCTGCTGGTTCCCCCTTTTTTAAAAAAAAGGTGTACACAAAGAATGTTTAAGTGCCTGGTATACATGGTTACTGCTGAATAAATATTTGTTGAATGAATGAAAAAAAATTATCAACAGCTAAAAATTAGTTTACGATACAGAAATAGATGTCTGTCTTGAACACCGTATGGTCCCTCACGTTTCTGTAAGGAATTGAGATTGGGGAAGTTTTGCTTGATCCTTTGTCTCAATTTTCTTTCACGATGGGAATAGTGTTGTCTGCTTCCTCACCTCCCACTTCCCAGCTGCCTTGTATGATTCTCTTGAAGGTAAATAAACACATGAAAATGCACATTGCCTGTGGTGACATATTAATGCATATGTGTGTGTCTAATATGACTTTAGTGCAAAATTGTAAACATAAAAAGTACCTATTTAAAGGATTGCAAAAGTTATTTATTTGGAATTTTTCTTAGAAGCTAGCATATATTTATATGTCTATCAAAGTTATGTAGTGTTGGTTGTCTAGCGTAGACTAATGTCATGTAGACTGACAAATTTGTCCTGAACCATATTTTAAGTTCTCAGGCCCATTTTTCTTACCAGGAAACTGATTTCCATCTTACATATCTCTGAAAAGATATAGGAATGTATTTTTTGTTTGTGAGTAGACTTTGTTTTTGTTTTGAGTGCTCTCTGGAGTGAAATGGCTCACTGGAAGTCACATACTGACATTGAGTAAAGAGGCCAGTAAACCACCCTGCTCCTTTTGGGAAAATGGCAGAAAGCCCATTGAGGTGAAAATGAGTTATTCATGTTGAAACTATGCTTTAAGGAGAGCAATTTTTGTCTAATTTATGCTATATTGTTTCATTGTTTTTTCCCTGATTTCACCTTTTATAATTTGTGGAAATATTTGATTTTCTTTTTTGCTGTAAGTACCTACTTAGTGCTTCCTGTTTTTCTATCCACCAGACTTTTCTCTCTGCTGCAGTCTTAGTGGGGATATCCCCAAGTGCTGAAAGCAACGAAATACGTTCTCTTGGTTGTTTTAGTTAGTTGCAGCAGTTAAATCTCTTTCTTTTGAATTTTGGCATCTCAGTAGACGTTGGTGAATTTGCTGGTGCTCTTGGGCTTAGGGCTCCTGTCTGAGTCCTGCCCTATCAGCAGTGCGTCCCCATGAGGGATTGTCTTGAATGCATCAGAACTGGCTCTCCTGTGGGGAGTAAGCCTAGCCCAGGGAGTTGCTGCCGTTCAGTGTGGGAGTTCGGTGTCTCAGTCCTGCTCAAATCCTCCCTCAGGTTCTCCATACAAGTTGCTATTTTCACAAAGAACATGGTGTTTATTTTCTGCCATGACGGCCTTGGAGATGCTTGTGTGCACAGGCACGTGTCAGGACTTGTGAACTGTCCCATTTATCTTGTCCTTTTCTTCAGAGATGAAACAACATGAGTACAGTGGGAGTGAGGAAGAGCAGGAGGAGATGCCTGAACAGGAGAGAGCCGAGGAGACGGCAGAGCCACTCTCCACAGTCCTGCTTCATGAAGAGATTAAATGACACATACAGCCACTTTGGAAAAGAGATTGGCAGTTTCTTAAAAACTAAACATGCACTTACCATATTCCCCAGCAATCATATTCCTGGGCATTTATCAGAGAGATGAAAATGTAACTCCATGTAAAAACCTGCACATGAATGTTCATATCAGCTTTATTTCTAATACTCTCATTGGTGGATAATTTACAGGTAACAAAATGCACAAATCTTAAATTTTGCAATTCAATGTGCTTTTGCAAATGCACGCACTCCTGTAACCCACCCTTTGTAAAATGTAGAATATTTCTAACACCCAGAACTTTTTTTTGTGACCCTTCTAGCTACTGTCTGCCATGCCACGCCATCCCCAAACCCCAAAGCAACTGTTAGTCTGATTTCTTCCACCATAGGTCAGTTTTCATATAAATGGACTCATGTGCTATATATTCCTTTAGGTCTGGCATCTTTTGCTCAGGAACATGATTCTAAGATGCTTCCGTGCTGTGGTGTGTATCAATAGCTCATTTCCTTTTTATTACCTGCTAATATTCCATTACATGCTTAGACCTCAATTTGCTCATTCATTCTCCTGATGATGGATATTGAGATTATTTCCAGTTTTTGTCTTTTATGAATAAAGCTTCTATTTCCACTGTTAGATACAAGTCTTCACTTTGGGATAAAAGTCTCATGTTGGACTCTCTGGGTCATACAGGAAGGTATGTGTTTAAATTTATAAGAAACAACCAAACTATTCCTGAAAGTGTTTGCATCATCTTACTTTCCCACCAGCAATGTACGAAACGGCAGTTTAACACGTGCGCACCTTTTTCACGTGCACACTGGCTATTTGCATATATTCCTGTGAAGTGTTTGCTCAACTCTTGCCCATTTTTTTAAAGCAGGGCTTTGGGAGTTATAGGAATTCTTAAATATTCTGGAATGGAGTCCCTTATTTAACGTTTTGTGAATATTTTCTCCTGGTTTTTGACTTGTCTATTAATTTTATTACTGATGAAGTTTAAAATTTTAATGAATTCCAACTTATCAATTTTTAAAATTGTGGTTACTGCTTTCTGTGTCCTAAGAAATATTTTTTTACTTCAGGGTGGTGAAGTATTCTGTTTTATTCTAAAAGTTTTTAAGTTTAGGTCTGTGATCTAATTCTAAATTTTTGTTTACCAATTTTTAAATGTTTTATATTTAACAAAAGAACTCCATGTAGGAGGTCGGAATTGGTGGAAACAGCTCTGACCTTGAAGCCCAGGGTGTCTCAGGGAACAAAGTGGGCCCAGGAGGTACAGCAGGGACCCATTAGGGTCAGTACAGCGAGGTGGTTTTGAAATCCACTTGGAGAAACGGACTGCTCAGCTGTGAGAACACAGAGCGCTGCAGAAAGCTGGCGTAGAAGAAAACGTGTGACTTCTCTGCCCAGTGCTGATGCGGCCAGGCCCAGGTGCTCCCTGCAAAGTCCTCGGCCTTCCTGCCTGATGTTCGGTCTTGCTTCTGATTGGAGATGGCCACAAGGGGGCACTGTGAGAGCAGGTCTCAATGCCAGCTTGGCACCACCCTGCAGCGCGGAGGCAGCCCTGGGCCCTGCCTGCCTGCCCAAGGGTGGCACTAGCTCTCTGGGGGGTAGAAGGAGGCTTTATGAGTTACAAATGGTCATATGGGGAGGAGAGTAACCTCACTCAAAACCTGCAAGACTTTTGTCCCCTCAGAACACAGATCTGGGGACAGGGTGTCAGAGAATGAAGGGAGCCTAGGGAAAGCAGTAGGACCTTAAGCCAAAGTCAACATGAGGCCCCAGTGTCCCCCCAGCAACAAGTCCTGTCGGATGGGCACAGGGGGACGTGCAGAACATGGCAGAGGCTGGTACCAAAGATGAGCCAACAGGTTGTGTCCCCCCAGGCCAGGGGCAGAGCGGAGATGACTGACTCCTGTTTCAGTTGGGTTCCACTTACGAGTGGGGCTGAGGTAGGGGTTGGGGACGGGGAACCTGTCCGTGAGGAGCTGTAGACAGCAGTAACGGGTAATTGTTGTCGGGGGTGGTCACAGTTCATCTGTGGTCAGCCTGGTCATGCCAGCAGCAAGGCATTCTGGGAGCAGAGTTACTGAGCTCTGGAGAGGAAGACTTGGTTGCAGACCTGCGGCCCTGGGAGGAGCTGACGGGCTCAGGCAGAGCAAGGCGAGCGCAGCCAAGTCACGGCTGAGCCTCAGGCACCCCAGGGATTCGGATCTGTGGGTCACTGCTGGGAGTCCTGCTCCAGAGCATATCACAGAGACGGCGCAGGCCCTAGTCACCAAGCTGGTGGCCCTGGAATTTCATCAGAGTCGGGTTGAGGGCCAGGCCCAGAGCCAGGAACAAAGGTAGTCATGGGCCACATCAGACGGGGCCCACCTTGGCCCTATACCACGAGGGAACATGGACACCTGCATGGGGCCCTGGACGTGCCCCGAGCCTCACACTCGGCCTGGGGCTCACAGAGGTATTTCAGATACTCATGGGCTCAGGGGAGGAGCTGTGGAAATCAGTATCTGTTCCTCACTACGGGGACAGAGATTCGGTGCCTAGGGGTACATTGCAAATACTTAGAAAGACTTTCTGGGCCAGGACAGA